ACAAAAAGGTAATAATTGTCATTTTTAAATTTTTGTATTTTATTAAGAACTTATTACTGCAATTGTCGCAACTATCCTTTTTTTAAAAAAAAATCGGCCAAAATACAATCTTCAACTTGTATTATTATAATTTCAATGTAAACAGATAACAATTGTCAAGAATATAAATGTTAATTTCCTTTAAACATTTCGTTTTTACTTTTTGCGATCATGGAAAGAATATAAAATACAATTATATATTTCAATTACTATAAATTAAAAATTATTATCATAACTGAAAGTCCAAACTATTTTTAATCCTTGAAATATAATACTATACCAAATTTTTATATTTTGGTTGAAATTCTTTTAGACCGATAATTAATTATAATAACAATTATCGCTAATTTTTACTAATAATCAGGAGTGTATTTTGAGCCCTGGACCCCAGCAAATTTTTTTTATTTTTAGACCCCTTTTCAACTTTTGAGAAAGAGATGAGCTCCCATACCCAAATATTTTTCAAAAGTTTTAAATATCCCTTTTCTTTTTATTATTGTTATAAAAATTAAAATTTTCAAATATTCAAAAATCTTTTTTATATTTTTATATGGCCATGTAGAAGATGGAGAAGCAAATATTTTTTTAAAAAATATATTTATTTACATTATTTCTATGGAAATGTATATGTTGCCGCCACTTCTGCTTTATTTAAAGTATAAAATGCTTTATCTTCAACAAGTAGTGGTGATAAATAGCTCCATTTTTATAAGATTTTGAGCCAACTTTAAAAAGGCTAAACCAAATTTTTAAGCTAAAACTATCATCTTAACCTCGATGCTTTAAACTTAAAGGATAGCTCAATCTTAAAAAAATATACTCTTGCTTCAGGCTTAGCCAATTTTCTTGACTGTTAGGATTGGGTAAATTTAGCAATACTACAGGCGAGAAATAGCCCAAATTTAACAAATTCGTTTAAATTTTTAAATAAGAATTTTAAATAAGTATGTTGTTAGTATTATGATTAATCAATTTACTTTAAAAGAAATAATAAATTGGGATATTTTTTATCCACTTCTTAGGTCTCCTTTTGACAATGAACAATTTTTTTTATTAATTGAATGATATATAATATAAAAATCATTAGTAACATCTATATGATAGAAAATTGATTATGGGCAAACCCATTCCAAAATCTACCTAAAAAAATTCTACAGCTGAAGTCCGCGTTATATATTTACCCATTATATTATAACAGCCTCAAAATAAAAATTAAAAAATATTATTTATAACCTCCAAACAATTCTAATTAAACTCTTTTAGTCCTCATGATTATTTAGGCATGGAATTACAAATAAACATTATTTGATGATAATCAACTCTAAACGTATTTTAAACATTATCCATGAGGGTGTATAACTTCAAACTGTACCAAAAGTTACTGTAAATGAAAGAGAAATAAATAAATCTAAAAATTTTTATCAGTTATTTTTATCTTTAATCTACAAAGAGTATTTATTTTTACTTTACCTTATCCCCAATAGATGCCCCTTCAAAAAAATTGAAGGCAAATCGATCTCACCCCCTCCCATTTCTCTCTCATGTAAACGCTCAATTTAGATAAATATTTACAAATGTGGCACAATTCAGAAATTACATTTTTATTTAAAAAAAAATACCATTCAAAAAAATCCAAGACTAATAAGATTAAAAATAGACCAATTTTTAATTTCTCTAGAAAGCATCGTGCAGTTCTGTCTAATTAATACCTCTGAAAACGAAGGTTAAATGACTTGAATAAATTTTATTTTTTTATTTCAAAAATTTTTTCCGATATAATCTTAATTCAAAAAACAAAATTGGCCTTAGAATCTAGATGCACGATGAGAAGTAAATAAGCAAGTTTATAGCAGGAATGTAAACTCGAACCCGGGTTCAGAAATTTAAAATTGTTTGGTTGGGCATTTTGAGATCATAGACCAAACAGAAACCGATTTACGGACAACTCATTGAATTTCGAATAATATGGGCTCTGGGCGGGTCGGACCCTTCTTAAGAAATCGGTTTCGATTAAGTTCCTATTATCAAAATTTATGCTAAATAGAGTTTAAAATTCTTGAATCCGGGTTAATATACCTGGTTTAAACAATAAATAATTTACCAAATTTAATGTTCATAAATATTCGTGGACCTTCGATATCGGAAGGGATCGAAGATTCATGTATCAAATTATAGGATGGAATCTTCGCGGGCGAGTGAAACCTTTCAAAAATAAATAAAGCCTAAAGAAATAGAAGATTCATAGAAAATATAGATATCGGTAGTGGCATTAAATTCGTAGTATTATTTTTATAATATAAATAAAAAAAATTAATCATAATTATAATTTAAAAAAATCGATAAATATTTATTAATTTAGGAGACTAATTTATAGTTTATATTTTTAATAAAAAATTATATAAAATATAAGAGAGAAATGAAAAGTTACTATTTACGCAATTAATATAATAACCAAATCCTTCTATGTAATTCTTTATATTATCAAATTTTATAATTTATTAGAAAATAACATACAATATAACCAACCCTATCATTTTAGTTTATCATTATATACTTTACTTTACTAGGTAAAAAATAGTAATTAATTTAGAGGCTAATAGTTATAATTATTATTTAGAGTCAATAAAACATTCAAATAAAATACATTTCGCCAAAATTGAATACAAAAGCACTCTTTTTCTTGTATTAAATGAAAAATAATCTTCATCTTGGAATAAAAATAATTTCGCTGAAAAACTAAGTGTAAAATGCCAAATTGTTATATTTTATCGGACCGAAATTTTTATAAACCTCGTGCAGTAAAAAAACAATTTTATGCACCCAGGCCGGCACAAAAATAAAATTATTATAAAAATAATCCGGGCAGGACTAAATTCTTTTTATTGATATCCCTGGGTCTCTCCTTTTTATACTAAAATTATAAGAATTATAAGTAGAAATCATTACTTACTACCTATTCCTTTCTTTTTATTAAAAATCTTATTGCTCTTTAAAATAAATACATTAAAAGTATTTCATTAGTTTTATTTTATTTAATGGTTCAAATCTAACAAAAAGTAATAATCAAAAAGCACCTATCATAGACTATAATAAAAAAATGTTAAAAACAAATATAGAGTTAATCCTTATAGAGAATAAAATCCCGAACAAAAAAATTTAACAAGCTTGTAGAAACATCAAAATGTAAAAACTTGTAGTATATAGTATATATATAAATATAAATGTAACTTTATGCATTACCAATATTTCTTAAACTTTTAAGTAAATTTTAAAAAATAGAGCATTTTTATTTAAGAATAATGAATAAATCTACTATCATCATATCGCTTTCAAAAGCCCTGCATAAATGAAATCATCTGAAAATAAACATTTAAACCCTCACAGTGGCATATTCGATACTTTATTTTAGGACCTGTTCAAAAAAATAGCAAATAAAAAAGTAAATCCAATTTTAATTTTCAAAAAAAAGAAATTAATCTAAAATTAGAAGAAAAAAGAGAATCTAATCTAGAATTTGTAAAAATTTGAAATCCAAATCTTAAATTAGCAAAAAAATATTCACGGCCCATCCAATAAAGGTTTTTTTAATACACTATTAAACGCTTATACATTCAATCAATTTGTAACCCGGTTTCGTATAACCCAGCTTAAATCATAAGAATAAAACGTGATACTTATGTATCTACATTATGAATGCAATTTTTGTTTAGTTAAAAATTTAAATTATCCAGGCATAAAAAAAATTTATGGTCATAACTGATAATTTAAATTGACATATTATGTATAAGAGAAACGTATCACTATTTATTTTGAAAATATTTTCTAAGGGTGGTTACATCAACTTTTGTTTGAATAGTACAAAAGTATTAGTAAAATCAAGTTGATAGCTAAGGATTGTCTCAGGCCGATGACTAGGGTTAGAAAATTATATGGCTGTAAACATAGTCCATAGCATAGGAGCCGACTATACTGGGACAACAGGGCTTTCGCTGCCATTAACAAATTTCTATGGGGGCAATAAATTCAAAGATATATTATTTCGATATTTTGTAGACATAATAAATACAGAGATCAATATTAGGATGGAGCTTCTAGCGTGAGTGGAAAGTTGTCTGGTTTACAACCGCCTTTGTAATGAAGCTAGAGCAATCAATGTTCATTGTGTAGGTCTTATATCAAATCTTGTTGTACGAGATTTATTTGATAATATTGAAAAAATTTACAATTTTGATTTTTTATCTTCTATTCGAGATTTTGTCAAACACATGAAGATATTAAGTTCCCTCCAAGATGAAGTGATAACTAAACTTCTTTCGGGACATTATATCCTACACACTAGTGTATGAGAATAATATGTCTAAAATAAATAGAAAGGAATTATGAAATAAACATGAAACTTTCATTATAAATTAAATTATAAATACTAGCCATGTGGCTGCTACAAGAGCAAAAATTTTATTACACCAAGTAAATCTTATTGAAAACTTTTTATATCTTAAAATAATGACAACAGCATTTGAAAGAGTAGAATTTTTAAATGGTAAAATCCAAAGTTCCTTTATTACATTTTATAAAATTAAATATAAAATAGAAATGATCATAATTGAAGCAATAAGACAATATGATAGTTTTGATAAGTTTTTGGTAAGAAGTAAATTACATTAAAAATTAAACTCAAAACTGAAAATAAATTGAATTTGGAGGAGCCGATTTTAAAGCGACAGAAAACGTTTTTAAATTTCAAAGAAGGCTGGAATTTATCGTTATTGATTTTTTAAATTCAGACCTCTGTTTCAATTATCAAATTAAATACGTAACTCACAACTATATTAATTAGAAGAAACCAGAAATCATAAACAAAATCTTACGTATTAAGTTATAAATATGCCAATTTTTACATCGGTTAGGATTTAGCATTAAACTTCTTTTTAAACTTCTTTTTTTATAAAAGATTTCTATCCTTTCAGCTGAATTTTAAAGCATCTTTTACTATGGACTCTTCTGACGAGAATGATATAATGGTTAAAAATATGTTGGAACAAATTGATGATAATTTTGATTATACTGGTCTACCTTCAAATATTATAATAACTAATGTTTCAAATAATGTATTCACGGATCATAATGTTAAAGTAAATTTGTTTGAAATATTTTAATTTATGAATCTATTTGCTTATATATTTATATATATATAATTTTAATTATATGGCCCAGATAAATTAAATATATAGTGTTTTAATTTTAAAGGAAATATTGAATGTGGTTATAAAAAAAGCCTATAATTTATTTGGCACAATAATTATAAACCTTTACAATATCACTGCAATAAAATTTATGTTAAATTTTTTTTTATTAATGTCCAAAATTATTTTAGAATAATTAAACTTTAAGTAATATTTTTTCAATATAAACTTCTTTCAACATAGGTATCAAGTTTTACATAGTTTAGAAACGGGGGTATTTATGATATTTGATTCTGATTTCTTTTAATCTGGCTCTAAAGGGTTTTTAAAAAAGTTATATATTTTGTGATTTATTTAACAATTAAACAGACTAGTTACACCATAATGATTAATACATTTTTATAGATTTGTTTAATTTAAAAAATATATATTTCTTCTTATCTTATCTTATCTAGCACGTTGGTCATGGACCTGCCCAAAATGAGCGAACGTGAATTACTATAGAGGCCCTATCCTCCATAATAATTATGCCGATTTTTTTCCTCAAGGATACCAACAAACCTTGTAACCCAGATATAATTATTAAGAGGAGTGGAACTCACCCAATCCAATAATAATAATAATAGCATAGTGAATAAGATTATGAGCATATTTAAAAGGAAAAAAATAGTAGTACTGTATCATCCAATACAAATTATTAGTCATTAGTTAATTATCTAACATTATTTTTTTATAGTTAGTCTTAATTTTTATTATTATTATGATTATTAAATTTATTTAGTTTATTTACAATTTGTTCCCAATTATTAGTTAGAAAATATAATTATATTTAATTTTTATAATTATTTAGTTTAAAATATCTATCTATTTAATCTATTTGACCTTAAATCTCATAATGTAATGTAATCTATTAGAAATTATCTTACAATGTGCACTAATTTAATCTGCCTTCATTTACTATAGCCCTATTCAATTACTTCAACTCTTAGATATATATCAAAGCAATATAAGAAATTGTATTTTTAGTAATAACATAACTTTACTTACTCAACTTTCATTGTTATATCAAAGTAATATATGGAATTATATATTTAAATAATAAACCAAATTTAATTTAATTTAATCATCATCTTTACTTGTTACATTCTCAGCAGTTATTCGTCAAGTGTTCGTAAATAAGTCTTAAAACGATTTTGTAAGTTTTCCTATCTAACGAAGCACGTTTTATGAATTCCCAAGATAGATCTATGTCCGATAATGATCGAATTATTCTACCAAACCAACTATTTTTGTAGGATAGGAAAGGTTTGAGAGATAATTCTTCTAAAGGGGTAATAAAAAGGGCTTGATATACTAGGTTGTTTGGGGCTTGTCTGAGAATGTGCCCTAATATTTCGATTTTCCTATATTCACATAGTCTATATATAGGGAGAATGTCACATCTGGACCAAAGATTATGATTTGAAGTATTATACGGGTAGAAAGTTTTGGTAATATATCGAAGACATTTGTTAATGAACGCTTGCATCTTTTTACTTTCTTGTTTGGTATCTTTCCAAGTTTCTATACCATAGATTAGGGAGGGGAATATTAAAGTTTTAAATAATCGAATCTTTAACGGAATTGATAATTGATTCGAACTCCATATTTTCATAAAGGATCTATATTTCTGTCTGCCTTTATTTATTTTAGCTATTAGGTCTAGCTTTGTATTTCCTTTTCTATCTAGTATCACTCCTAGATATTTTAGTTGTTGAACTTCTGCTATTTTTTCCCCTTGTATCGTTAGATTTATGTTTGTAGGGGAGAATATTGATGTCATCAACTTTGTTTTATCAATATTTATTTTTAAACCAAAAAGGTCAGCAACTTGGGTCATCATGTCCACTAGCAATTGGAGGTGTGATATAGAATCTCCTATAATACAAATATCATCGGCAAAAGCAAGAATATTAAATTTCACGATGGGAATCTGAGCTAAACATTGTTTAGTCACTCTTTTTATGATATAGTTTGTAATAAAATTAAAAAGAAGAGGAGAAAGGACACATCCCTGTTTCAAACCTATCTTAACTGGTATTTTTGTTGATTTATGACCCGCATGGATAATTTGTATCGAGTAATCGTTATAGATATTTTTTAATATTTTTACCAATGAAGTTGGAGTATTAACTTCTTCTAATGCTATCCATAACCTATCATGATTAATCGTATCAAAAGCTTTCTTAAAATCAAGAGCAATAATTATTAATTGCCTTTTTCGTATTATAGATTTCTCCATTTGTATCTTTAAGTTGAGAATAGCTTCAAGAGCATTATGTCCCTTTCTAAATGAAACTATAGAATCCACATAATCTCGTTCTATAAAGGGTTTGAGTCGATTTAAGATTAAGTTAGTGAAAATCTTATAAACTATAGAATTTAGTGAGATTCCTCTCCAATCCTCTAGAGTTTTAGGGTACTTAGTTTTTGGAAAATTAATTAGTATAGCTGATAGCCAATCACTAGGGCATATCCCTTCCTTCCATACTCTCGATATGATAGGGAATAGTATATCGGCGGATAATATAGGGTCCGTTTTTAAATATTCACTACGAATATTATCTTGACCACACGCCTTGTGATTTTTTAGCTTCTTTATTATATTTATTATTTCACTCTTAACTGGATCTATGATTCTATCTGTATTTTGGAATAAGGTAGAGGGGGAAGAATGTGTAGATAAAGATGTAGTATTATGGGTATTATCTTGAGGGAGAAATAATTGTGGGGACCAGAGGTACGAAGTGGATGGACCATGATGAATGGAAGACTCACTTTGGTTTGGTAAATGTAATAATTTAGATGGCAAGAGATTATAAGAAGAGGAGTTTTGAGGGCATAGATCCGAAGGCCATTTAGTAGGGTTCTGCTGAGGAGGCCAGGAGTTTGAGGAAGATGCATTTTGGACAATGGGAGATTCTAAATTTGAGTTGTATGTAGAATTAGATAAAGGATTTGAGATATAAGAATTTTGAGCGGGAAGGAATTGGGGAAGTCCACGGTTTAGCGGATTTGGAGGCCAGAAACTTGAGGTAGATGGACATTGATCAATGGGAGATATTACTATTTGGTTATTTGATGTAGAGGAGGGTTCGTTGCAATTATTTGATGTAGAGGAGGGTTCGTTGCTATTAAATATTTTAGAGTAATGTGAAACCCATATTTCCATTTGTATCTCTGGATCTGTGATTTCTTTTGCATTGTGACTAAGTTTAAAAAATTGCTCTTTTTTGAAGGAAGTGAAGGATTTCAATAATTTAAAAGCTTTATATGAATCATTTGCACTGAACGAATTACTTATCTCAGTGGCACGATCCTCAAGGAATTTCCTCTTATCTCTTCTGAGTTTATGACTAATATCGTTTAGGATATACATGGCTCTGTTTCTCCTATAATGACCACTCCCCACTAGATTTGAAATAAGATTTTTTGATTCTATTGAGATCCAGTCCGGATAATTCATCTTGGCTGGTAAGGAATTTGATGCCGCATTGTTGAAAATGTCACGGGTATTTTCCCATAGTGTGTCTGAGGATAAGTTGTTAGTATGATTGATAAATTTATGAGAATTATTTCTGATTTGTTCTATATATTCAGTTTTGATATTGTGATCATTTAAAGCCTCGATATCTAATTTGGGACGTTTCGAAAGTGACTTTCCGTTTCTTTTCTTCCTCATATGCCATATCTTCGGGTCTATTACCATAGAGCAATCTATAATTTTATGATCAGAGTTAAATAAAACCTGATAATGAACTTTAATATTTTTTATCCAGCTCATAGTCGACCTATTACAAATAAAATAGTCTATTTGAGACCAAGTATTGTATGTTGGGCTAAAATATGTGTATATCTCTCTTTTATCCGAATGTTCGAAGAAAGTATTAGCTATACGAAGATCTAACTTATGACAGAGTTTTAATAGTAGTTTTCCTCCAATATCGGATTTAATATTTAGTGTTCCTGAACCAAGGGAAATATGATTCTTTATATCGATTTTTCCTACTTTCGCATTAAAATCCCCAGCAATTAGTAAGTTTTCGCGTTTCGGAAATTTATTTAGATATTTGTCAAGAAAAATGAAGAAGAGTTGTTTTTCAGTATAGTTCACTGGTATATAGATATTTACAATATTTAAGGTTTTACATCTCGTATTTACTTTTATGCTACATACCCTACTATTTACGCCGTCGAATTTTGAGATGTAGCCCGATAGATTCTTTTTGATCAATATACATACTCCACACCAGTTTTTTTCAGTTTCGCCCGAATTAAAGAGTAGGTAACCTTTGCAATTAATTTTACAAGTATCAATCCAATGTGTTTCTTGTATACAAGCAATGTCGACAAATGTGCTCCTAATTTTAACAGATCAACTTTGTACTTGTCTTTTATGACTCTCCCAAGTGTGCTGTCAATAATAATAAATTTTTGTATTTTAAGTAATAATAATTTATAACAGTAGAATACCAGAGAATGAATTTATTATGTATTTTTTACTAGTTTCCAATATAAGTTATTTGATTTATATTTAAAAATTTTTGGTTGGTCATTAATTACTTCATATACTCCAATGAGATCCTGGAACATATATTTTATTAAAAAAAATTATTTTTTATAATAATTTATTGAAATTATCACATCAATATTTTCAGATTAAATCTAAAGAAACTCTAAATATATTTCTTTAAGCATATAATTGTATTATAAAATATGATGGAAGAAAGAAATAAAAATAAAAATCTAGTTTCAAAGAACGCAGGATATCATATAATAGTAGATGGAAACAAGAATATAACCACCCCCTTGATAACATGTTAAAGTGTCAAAGAAAGACAATTTGAATCAGGAAATTGATATTATAAATACAAATAATATCAAATTTAATCTACTAAAATACTAAAATT